ACAAAATACCAATTTATAAACTATCAAGGGCTCATGAGGGAGGGGGGAGCGGGGAGGGAGGGGAAAAATGAGGACCTAATGTCAGGGGTTTCAGTGGAGAGAAAATATTTTGAGAATGATGTACAAATGCGCTTTACACAATTGATGTGTGTGTGGATTGTGATAACAGTTGTATGAGCCCCTAATAAAATGTTTTAAAAAAAATGTGGCATCTGTTCATTTGTCTGCAAAAGTGACAATATTTGTAAATTAACACTCTCTAACCATTGTTCTTGATAACTCAATGGAGATTTTTGTGTAGAAATCTGATTTTCATTTAGTACAATCTTATGTATGGCTCAAAATCCAGATGCAATAAAAAGAAAGATTGAGAAATTTAACATACCAAAAAATCATATGGCAATAACACCATAAGCAAAATCAAAAGACAGCTGACACTTGGAACAGAGCACAGATTAAGGGCTAATATTCCTACCATATGAAAGACTTAAAAACTGAGAGGTATGGACCAAAATTTTTAAAGAAAAAAAATGAATAAAGAATTTATAAAAGAGATGAAATTTCTTTTAACTAAGAAAATATTTAAAGTCATCTATAGGTAGAGACTTATAAATTAAAATCACATTAAGATAGCATTTCTTACTTATCTGAGAGGCAAGGACTAAGACTAAGACAGCAAATTTTGTCTCAAAGCTTTGAGGGAACTGAAATACTTTTCATACATTGCTGTGAATGCAAACTGGCCTCGGCCTTTGGGAGGGGCATAGGGCAATATTTAACAAGCAGCAGATTTGCTGCAAAGGCCTCTTTAAATTGTTAAAAAGCAAAAATACCATTTTGAGGATAAAATGTGCTTGACCCAAAGCCATGGTATTTTCAATGTTCTCAAAAGCATGAAAAAGCTTATGGACAGTAAATAAGGAAGAATTGATGCACAGGAATTACAAAGTTGGCAAAGAACACTGAATATGCCATGGGCTGGCTGCCAGAGGATGACAGAAAAAACGGTCTTGGAAGTACAGCCACAGCCTCCTCAGAAGTGAGGACCACGGAACTCAGGCTCATGCATTCTGGCATGGTATCAGGGGAAGCAGTCTCTGGAGAAGGGCAGCATCCTTCAATGAAGCCAGTGAGGAAGAGGAAGACCCTCAACAAGATGGACTGACATAATGGCTACACCAATGAGCTCAAACGTGGCACTGATGATGGTGCCAGTCCAGGCACGTTTCATTCGGTTGTATTTAGAATGGCTGTGGGTCAGAACCAACCCAACAACAACCACAACTGCCACCAGCATGTACACCCGAACAAACACTCCTATTTCTAGGAACTGACCCTTAAGATATACATCCAGTAATACACCTATATATATTCACAAGGTATTTCATCGCAACATTGTTAGCAATCACAAGGCATTTGAAGCAAGCTAAATGAGAATGAGTAACCAACTATGATATAGTTCTACAATGATGCACTCTGTGTACACACTATATAAATAAACTGGGGACGAAGGGAAAGTCCTTTCCTTCAGAGAACACCACAGAATTACAATGATATGAAAGGAGTGCACAAGTTAGATAATCAGTATTTGGCAAACAGCTAGTAACTGTAATACTTGCTTTAGCAAACACCCAGTAAAAATTGCTCTAGGAGGGAGCCGCGGGCTGCTACCGCTGCTCTAGCTGCGTGATCCCAGTGCCAGGCTGCTGCCATGGCCTATTGGCGGCAAGAAGGTAGGCAGGACCAGATCATATTGTTGACAAAAGAAGACCATGAAACTCCAGCAGTGCAGAGCTGGTGGCTGATGACCCCAACGATCCGTGCAAGGAGCACGGATTGATACTGCCCAATGGAGACATTAACTGGAACTGCCCGTGCCTTGGAGGAATGGCCAGCGGCCCCTGTGGGGAGCAGTTCAAGTCCGCCTTCTCCTGCTTCCACTACAGCACGGAGGATGTCAAGGGGTCAGACTGTATAGACCAGTTCCGGGCCATGCAGGAGTGCATGCAGAAATACCCGGACCTCTATCCCCAGGATGATGACGATGCTGAGGAAGAGAAGGAGAAGCCGGAAGTGTTGGAGGAAGTCGCTCCCACTGAGGCTGCTGCAGCCCAAAAGGAGCAGGGCTCGAGTTAATGCAGGCCACAGTCCTGCATGTCCCCATCAAGATGGACCTGATAGAGATGCCTTCCAGTCACTCTCAGAACCCCTCCTTCCTCTGCTCCGTGCACTGTCCTGTACAACATAGCTTACTCTGTGAAGCCGTGGTCTTGGCCGCTTGACAGACACACTGCAAAAGCAAAACAAAAACAAAACGCGGGTGTCCTCCGGTAAACCTGTCGGCAAAGGTAGATTGTTTTCCCCTCTCAGGCTGCCCTGACTCTTCCCACTTTGAAATAATGCGCTGAGTAGTCTCAGTAAGCCAAAAAAAAAAAAAAATTGCTCCAGGAAAGACTCACCAATGGATGCTACAGCCATGCATAAATGTATAAAGAAAATGAAGGATTTACATACCATCAATGCCTCTCTCCACGTACTTCTTAATGACTAAAGAGTTAAAAGTAACATTACCAGGGAGAAACCCGGAAGATATCACCTTAACCAAGTGATCTAAGTTAGGCTCATCTGTAATAAAACAAATCAACATCATGTGCCTCTTACGATGACATGTGGAGGACACATTATTTCGGTGGTATTTTTGGTCATAAACACATACTTGAATTTCATTGTGAGAAACCATTACACAAACCCCAACTGAGGGTTTGCTATGAAGTAGCTGGCAGGACTTTAAAAGAGAACGATATAAGAATCATATCAGACTTAGAAAGACTGAGGAGACCTAATTGAACTGTAGAATCCTGCCCTGGATCCCATGACAAAAAAGGAAATGCTGGGAGCAAATGAAGGGGGAGGAAGAGAGAGTGGAGCACATCCTGGTCCACCAAGCCTTGATGAAGAGATTCCTGCTCAGAGCAGCCAATTCACAGAGAAGACCATATGGCCGGCCCACTATGAGACACAACATCCCTCACTGACCCATACCCCTACAGAGGACAACACTGGAGATAGAGTGGGAATTGCACCTGATCTGATCCCACCACACAGAGGCAAAACACTAAGGGCGTGGAACAGAGCAGCAAGGGGAACAGAGAAATGAGTCCCCAGGGAATACCAAAAATAGACTTTGGGGCCAGGGCTTAGTGCCCTATCAGACTTGACTAAAAACACTCCTAAAGGCCAACAAATAGTCCTCAAACTAACTACAAGCTTTTCTTTCTTGTTGTTATGTTTTGTTTTGTTGTCATTGGCTTATTGTTGTTGTTTTATTTTGTTGCTTGTTTTTGCTATGTCTTTTTTGTGTGCATGTTATTATCTCCACAGGTCTGTCTAAATAAGACAGGCTGGATGAACAATCTGGAGGAGAAAACAACGGGACTGACAGTTCCCAGGGGACATGGGAGAGGGGGAGGTGGGGGGAAAGGAAGTGGTGTTAACAAACCGAGGGACAAGGGAACAACAAGTGATCCAAATCGGTGCGTCCTAGAAGAGAGAGAGCGGGCAAAGGCTGCCTTATTCACTAATGGTTTCTCTTTCACCTTCTGAGGTGGCCAATCTTTTCTCTGAAATGCTCGTAATATAGGTTCTAGTGAGTAAGCAAAAGAGCAAACATTAGCTATATTCCTGGGTTTTCTGCCAGGGGGTACAGGGGCGATACTCAGCCTCGGTGGCCACTTAGATTGTTGCCAAGAAGAATGCTATCCATTGATGACCACCCTGGGTCCATTAGGCAAGAAGTGGACTCTTCATAAAGGGCCATAATACAGATGAAGATTCATCCTAATCTGCCAAGTCCATGGACTTGTCACTGTCACTTGGGTGAAAGTTTAAGGTCTGTAGCCCTTTAACTAGCCAGTCCAAAAATAACAAGTAGAGGGGGCAATTTTACTGGCATGTTTTCCGCCAGAAAATGACGAAGGCCTTTCCCTCAATTTACATATGACCCAGAAACCTCTAGTCTCCTTGAATTTCATTGAAGGCTTATAGATATCTTAAAGGCAATTTCTGAACCTTGATTTAAAAATCTGAATGGTTGGGGGAAAATGAGCAGCCGATATTAAGGGCTCAAGTAGAAGGCAAATATTTTGAGAATGATGATGGCAACAAATGTTCATATGTGCTTGACACAATGGATGTATGTATGGATTGTGATAGGAATTGCATGAGCCCCCAATAAAATTATTTTTTAAAAATCCGAATGGCTTTCAAATGAAGGGAAATATGTTCTAAAACAGAATTAGTAAAAATGTAAAGGCCTAATGCACTGGTTAATGGAACATTTTCCCTATTCTACCTGAGAATACATTCTTTTAAATAGATAAAATAAATTCATTTTCAAATTATACTAAATTTTACTAATTACTTAGAAGTGCAAGTTTAAGAAAGTTTATGCTCAAATAAAACATAGATCAAATAAACACTCAAAATATGATTACACAATCCTTATTGTATTAAAGCAATACTATCTATTTGTTTCACTCCAGCATAATTAAGAGCCAAGATAAGTTAGATTTCTTGGATTCAAATTCTTTACCATTTATTAACTCAGTGATCTTATTAAAATCAGATCAGTAAATCACTCTGTGCCTCCATTTTCTCATTGGTAAGATGGTTCTCATAAGAATACCTAACTCAAAGGAGTGTTTTGAGAATTTAAGCCAGTTAGAATACTATCTGAAGCATAATCAGTGCTCAGTGGTATTTAACAGTATATACATCAGTGGAAGTCACATAAAAAGATTTTTTTAAATGGATTCTTTCCCTTTTTTTTTCATGTTTGAGAGCTTTGAATAAAATAATAGAAAAATATTTTGCTTCTCACCAACGCCTGGAGTTACTAACAATCACTCCGTTATCTATGGAGAAGGTATCTGTTGGTAATCCCGCAATATTCCAAGCCCTAATTTTTACTGCATCACCCAGAGTTTTGCTCAATGAGAACTCCTCTGAACACGGAATCTTTTTCTCCTGTAAGAAATAAACAAAATTTTGATAATTACTTTATGCTTTTTGATTGAAATATTAAAAAATTAAAAGGTTAATTTCATTGCAGTTAGTAGGTGTTCCTTAATACCGGTAGCTCTAAGGAACCAGGGGGAAATGAATGAAAAGTTGGGCTCTAATAGTGTTTTCCTGATGAAATGATTAGCAAAAAAGACTCCATATTTTCAGAGTTTTCTTCCCTTCTCTCTTCTTCTTATCATCTTCCCCCCACCAAATATACCCACCTGTACTTTGAACATATATTTTAAAACCCTATTAAATATAAAACCACTACCTTACACAACAGGCTCCAACTTTGTGTACATGATTGTCGAAAGCCGGATGTGAAAGCGCCAAGGTAAGCTATTACGCCTGCAGATACTAAGATATCACCAGTCAAATTTTCATATATTGTCTGCAGGTCATCTGCAGCTTGAGACCATCTGGACCATAAACAAAAGGTCAATTAGACTCACAATGGAGGATGATGGAAGACAGTGATTGTAAGGGCAAGAGACCTCCGGTTCAAATTCTGTAACAGAATGCTGGGTATTTGAGTATATATAAAATGAGGAGGTTAGATCCCTTCCAGTTCTGAAATGATACAATACATATTTGATATGCAAATAACAACCCATCTTCCATAATGAGAATATTAGGCATTTCGTGCAGGACTTGGTCCTTTACAATAAACAAACACAAAACAAAGGCCAGCATTTTGTGTATTACTCCAGGATGATTTGGTCTAGTGGCCTTGCTATTTGTTTTAGTATTTGTTCTGAAGCTGTTACGTATAGAAACATTGGTTCCAGTTCACTACTAAAAGTTGTATTTAAGTTGTATAGAAGATGACAAACTGCTGCTAAGGTTGATACTTCCCCATTGATTGAAACTCTTATAATAAACTACATTCCAAAATCATCTAACCAGCACTACAAAACATCATGAAAGACACACATGCCTTGTCATGCTAGTCACGCAACAGGCAGAATTAACAGATGAGGTAGCTGGCTGATTAGTCTACATAAAGAGATGATTATAGTAAAGCTCATTGGCTTTGTTAGATAACGCCAGCTGTATGTTCTTTGGGGAAAAGTTTAACCAAGTAGTCATATAGCTGCTCAATCCCAAATATTTTAGTTTGAGAATTTGAATCCATACAGATATACTCACCACTTAGATTTTTAAAAAATGATTACTTGCCCTTTAAAAAAATTGGTAGAGTAATCTAAAAGTAAGGTACAAACATTATCCTTGACATTGATTGACATTCCTGTTTCAGAGGCCAGGCTAAGTGCCATTTAAAAATCAATACGTGTAATAAATATCCCCAAAGGTCACACATGCAAGACTGACATTCTTTAATCTTGTTAAAATTAAGAGAAATCTGACCTTGATTTTTCTCCACCAAGACCTCCAATTAGTTTTGAGGCCCTTTCAAGTTTCTTAGCACAAAGTTCCACCTGGTCTTCTAAACGAGCTTTTTCCTCAGTTTTCTCAGTAAATGTATTTTGTAGATTTTCCAAATGATATTCTACCGCTGCCAGTTCAGCTCTCTTCTGATTTAAAAGACTCATGGTCTCAGCTAAAGACCGCTGAGCTTCTGTTAAGCGTGCTTTCTTTGGAGCCACTACCTGTTCAGAAATAATACGTGTAGATTTAATGGGTCCCATGAAATTAATATCTATATAACTCCTTTATAGATACATGGATTAGGTATTCATTCCAGTAATACATTACACAAACTAAACATTTACCATAAATCCTATATCCATAGTTCTATGCACAAAAGAAGTAAAACACAAATATATTTCATAAAGTCTATGAATTATTCAGGGCTGGAGAACTGTCACCTATAAACTATAGAAATAGCTCAGGATAGTAGAATGTCACAAATAGCTTGAATATTGCCTCAAAAATAAAGAAATGTTGTTATTCAAATTTCAGACCACCTTTACCCCCCATAAAGAAAAAAACATGCAATGGGAATAACAGGTTTTGAAAATACATAAATGTGCCTTTCCCTCCATACCCATCTGTGTGAAATCCCAAAGAGGAAATGTGTGAACTAAATTGGTAGAAAGTGATAAACTCAACTTTCGACTGTTGACTTCCGAGGAGACCTTGCTGGACAACTCTTGTTAGCAGTAACGAGGTAGCTTACCAGAATCAAAGTGGCAGTGTGGAAGGTAGACTGGACAGGCAGAGGAAGCCCGAGTGCTTTGGCTTCCGTGCTGTGCAGAAGACATCCTGAAGATTCCACATGCTCTACGCCACATATAAAAATTAGCTGAGTTGAGACCCAGTGGGGAGACTACTGTGACGATGAGACTACTGTGGGGAGCGACAAGGTGTCCAATGTTTGGACAGCCCAAAATACACAGATTTTATTCCTTTAATGGGTTTATACTTGTCTAAACCTGGAAACAAATAATCAAAGCCCTTACCACTCTACAAGCACATGTGGAACCTCGCTTATTCATTCTCTCCTCTGACCTTGTTCTGGACCCACCTTTTTATTTGCATCTCCGGCTCCGTGGGTATAATTCTGCAAGCCACTCCAGGATGATATGTCTTTCTGATTCTTGCAAGTCGAATTTACAAATCACCATACTCTCAACCATTTAGTATTCGCCCGGGAATTTGGTGTCAGTGGGTGCTGACTGCATAAACAGTTCCCTACTGATGCGCACCATTACTTCAGGGGCTCTTCCCAAACTCTGCCCAGAACCTACTGAAATCTCACCTCTTGAGCCCCAGCCTCAGGCTATTGTGAATTTGCTTCTGTGCCCTTGATGTTTTGCATTTTTCTTTGTTTCTGCTCACCCCTTATCATTCCCTATACCCCCTTTGCCAAGGGCTTTATGAGTCAGCTTGGCCAATTCCAATGAGCATCGCTGCTCCCACAGCACTATTACCCACACAGCCCCCACTTGGTTATGTCACACACAGTACTCTCTTCACCTAGTAGGTACTCAATCAGCACCTGCTGACTATGCTGCCTCAGGACAAGTCTTTCTGGAACCACTTTTAAAAACTGCTTACCCAGTAAATCTACGCATAGATTTTCATTTCTGGGAAGTTTTTGGTAGAAAATGAATATATTAATCTTCAAAATACCTTTGCAACTCTATCATACACTTCCATAGCCATGATCCACTTGCACAGACCCTCGGCTGCAGAAGAAGCTTTTGCAATCTTAGGAGGGTCAAATTCAGGGTTTGTTAAGTATTCACTCCGGATCTTCTGCATAACACTCACCTACGCAACACAAGTTAAGATTTTAACAATTTCAACATGTATCAGGTAATTTATAAGGTGAAAATTAATCATTCATAATAAAATAGTTAAAAATAATGTTGCCCTTAAAAATGAAGGCCAATACCATGTTTATAATAATTTTATAATAAAATAAAAATGGTAACAGAAACACAAGTCATATTATAAGCAAAATATGTAAACTTATTATAGATATTAAGGTTAGATGTCACTTCAAAAAAACAACTAAAAGACTGTGGGTCAGGAGAGTGAATAGAAACAAGGGAAGAGAAAAATAAAGCATTAATAAAATTTTTAAATGATAGAACAATACACTAGACTTTAATTTTACATACATTAATATGTCACATTTCTTAATAAATGATTTATTACAAAAAGACACTTGTCAATACACTAAGACAATGGTAGTCAAGTGAACAATACACTAAAAAGTAATTCATTAAATAGGTAGGAACTCTGGTGGCATAGTGGTTACACCTTGGGCTATTAACCACCAGGTCAACAATTTGAAACCACTACCTGCTCTGAGGCAAAGGATGGAGCGTTCTACTCCTACAGTCTTGGAAACCACAGGGGCAGTTCTACCCTGCCCTGCCGTGAGTTACTATCTACTCGATGGCAATGAGTGGGAATGCCCTGAAAAGCAGTGGTTTTATACATTATGAAAATCAATTCATAATATAGTCACTAAACAGTATATCACTTTACATATTACCTATTCCTAAAATGAACTGTCCTCTTAGGTTTTAGGTATTATTGCCTAATGTTAAAGATCTTAAATATCTAGGCAACTTTTTTCCCCCCAACTTTTCTTAATAAGGAAAAAAATCCAATAAAACACTCACTGGAATGTTGTCCTTGTCATATTCTCTCAAATCTCTTAAGAAATTCATATCTCCTAGAACCTTTTTGCTAGGTCCCCAGTAGTCTAAGACCTACAAATGAAATACACGGAAATATATTTAGTGTGAAATTAAGTATGTTCAATATAAATTTTTCCTTGAAGCTTAAGATATTTATGCAGAAAAGATATTCATATATTTTCAAAGTATCAAGATATATCTCCTTAGAAATAAAGAGCCCTCCACAACATGTTAAATACTTCAAGTATTAACATAACAATCAAAATTGGATTTATTAATGAAAACACTGAAAGAAAACTGCGATAGTTAAGAACAGCTAACATCTATTGTGAGCTTTTTGTTTTTTTTTTTGAGCTTTTTGTTTCTGAGGCTTTACATGTCAGAGTTTTATATGTATTTACTAATCTAGTCTTAATAGCAACCTCGTAAGGTAGGTACTATAATTATTTTCTTACAACAGAAATTTGGAGAGGCTAAACACCTTGCCCAAAACAGTGACCTGGGATCAGGATTTTGAAATACAACTTTACCATACTACTGAAATCAGTAATACTTGTTGCATGGTCAGAAACCACGCCTATCTGTTATGTATCACAGTCTCAAAAACCATAGCTGTAAAAGCATGAAATCTGTTTATGCAATCCTAGTGATGGGCTGAAGGAGGAAGTGATGGATGCAGTTGGGACCACATTGTTCTGATGCTATCCTACGTTGGATTTACTCTGAAAGGTTCGTGGGGAGAGAGTGTCTTCCATAGTTTACATTGAGCCCATTTAATCTGGAAGACAATGTTTGCCACCAGGATGAATGTTAACATTTAATAATAGTTGCTGCTAATATGTTCTGTACACTCGTTAATATGATTTAAATCTGCACCCAATTATTACCTTTCCTCCAGTTCCCGATGGATCTGAAATTTTTTCTGGTTTTATGTCTTTCATGACGCAAATAGCAGCCATCACAAGCTTAACACCAGACGGAGGGTTCTTCATCGATTTCACAATAGTAATATCGGCTGGCTACACAGAAAAAGAGCAGGCCACTTCAGAACAGTTTATTGTTTTAATAATGGAAGTTCTCAGAGTAATATTAAGGCATAATAAAAGCGTCTTTTAAAATTTGAAGTTGTAATCAGTTTTTTGATTTGCATGTTTGGGGAAGAATGACCAAGAGAATTTAGCATAGATTAAAACCATGGATCCACAACATTGTGGGGCTCTCAGATGCTTAAGAAGAGTACTGGGGGGTGGGGGGCAGTAGGTAGGTCGGTGTCTTGAAACCACTCACAGCTCTACAGGACAAAGATGTGGCAGTCTGCTTCCATAAAGATTCATAGCCCTAACAACCCTATGAAGCAGTTCTACTCTGTCCTGCAGGGTCACTATGAATCAGAATCAACTCAAAGGCAGAGGGTTTGGTTTGGTTTGAATCCTTTTGATGATGAAAGCTTTAAACTCTCCAGAAAAAGAACAAATTTTTTTCAACGTATACACAATATCTGCATGTAATCCCATACCAAACCACATACCATGCACAGAATGCAGGCTAAACACCCTTCATTTAGACAAAGAATTAATTATATGTTTACTTATAGAAAATATTAGTTTTACTCCAGAAACAAGGAGTAAGTTCCAAGTACAAACATGTTTTCTAGAAATGTATATATTATTATGATAGACACTATGGATTCTTATCTCACTCACTTCCAAATTCTCCTGATATTCCTTCCAAGGGTGCAAATGCTGGAAAACTACTACCTGTATATTTTAGTTTCCCATGAGGCTAGAGTTGGGGATGAGAACTGGTTTCTCCCATCAGGTCACTTGAGTTAGTAGAAGTCAGACTGACTAAATGGAGAGAGCAGTAGGGCTTGAGTCTGTCTGGATTCTAGCAGAGGAGCTCTGGTTGTAGACCAGCAGCCCTGCAGGACGGTTCTACAGGCTTCAGTGTGAAAGGGGCCCTCCTCTGGCAGGCAGGCCGTTTCCACAGCATAGCTTTGGAAGTCATTCCTGGCAGCTTAACCTATGATCTAATTCTTCATTCCATCCCGCGGTTCTGTAATCCACTTGTACAATTCCCTGAAGAATTCTTGTCTGCTTTTAATAAATAGAATAGATTCTCTTCTCTGCAACTGAACTCTAAAGTCATTTAGAACAACATTTGGAAAGTCTTCTTAAAATCAAACAATAGTTCAATTAATAAAAGAAGGTCTGCACTGAGCATTGTGCTCTTTTAAAGATCTAGATACATGAGGTCCAATTGGCAGCAGCAGCTTGAAAGGTTATGTAGGCAGGTTAGGGGCAGAGTGTATATTCATGGGAGAAGAACAACTAGAAAAAAGAGAATGAGGGTGGTGGTGTAACCTGAAGAAAGTAGTCAATGTCATTGAACTTTTCAAGTAGGGATTGTTGAATTGATACCTTTTGCTGTGTCTATATTCAACAAGGACAAAAATAAAATAAACACTTTAAAAACGATCCACACACTCTATTTTAAAAGTCTTCACAAGACAAGGACCTCTACTATGTCCACCGTGGCTATTTGGGGAAGGCGTTGCTTCTTCTTTATCCCTTTCTGTATATTATGAATATCTTACCAAAAATCTGAAGCACTTATCATTTTTAAGTTTAAATCTAGCAAAATAAAACATAGAGTTTGGTTCCCGGAAGGAAACGGGTATCTAGTGTTCATGGCTTAAATTGGCTTTGAGGGCACCTAGGCCCCTGTGAGTATCAGCGGAGGGCTGCAGCGAGTCCACGGCCCAGGACGTGAAACGGTTACTTGAACTAACACTCAGAGGCCCCCATGATGGTCTGTCAAAACTCTCACACTGAGTGGCTGCTGCAAGAAACCTTTAGGGCAATAGTTCTCAACCTTCCTAATGCCGCGACCCTTTCATATAGCTCCTCCTGTTGGGGTGACCCCCAACCATAAAATTATTTTTCGTTGCTACTTCATATCTGTAATTTTGTTACTGTTATGAATTGGGCGACCCCTGTGAAAAGGTCGTTCAATCCCCAAAGGGGTCGTGAGCCACAGGTTGAGAACTGCTGCTTTAGTTTAAGAAAGACAAAGGGTAGTATGTGGCTTTTAGAGGTGCCAAAGAGCATGAAAGAAAAGAATAAGCTTGGATTTTTAATTGCTGGTTCAGTGCACAGCAAGAGCATTAGCAAGTTTCTTTACATGGCCGGAAGTAATCTCATCCCTTATAATCACAGGGCTGATCTAACTACACATTCGATAGTTTGACGCTGCAAGATTCTGGATTAGAGACAAAGGCAAAGAAGGGGGATCCAATATCCCAAACAGCATACTATATGAGCCTCCCAGTCAACAGAAGCTCTATTTGCTGCGGCTGGTCCAGTCTTTCCCGAAGACGCCGTAAAAGATTCACATACAGCACAGTATTGTGTTGACAGGTGCGACTGACGGCTGCGCTGGAAACAACTAGAATCCCCCTGTGCATACACGCCAACGAGGCTGGCCAAGGCCATGCTTCCTAGTCGTGTACGTACAGAACTACTTCGGTCTCCGAGACCCTTTACCCACTAGAAGATACTGGAAAACAATCACACGTGTGATATGAAAAGCAAAAGTATAAAAATAACTATGTGAAGGAAGAAATTGTTAAAAGAGACAAGTTGCATGTAGCTGGTAAAGAAGCCAAACAAATAATGTAAAACCACCCACTGAAATAGAACCACACCTAATTAACCCAGTAGCTGCATACTGTTTTGTTTACGAAACACAGGGCAGATCATTCAAAGGCGTGCCTTCAGCGTGTCCAGCGCAGACAGAGCTGCTTCCAAGGCTGGAATGGCCTCCGCGAGGTCACTCTCACACTCGTTCTTCAGAGCCTGGGCCTCCTCAGCCTTCCCACTGGCTATTTCCTCATCAAACTTCACAAACTTCCTTTTCGCTTCTACCTGGGCAGACTCTATCTCGATGATCTGAAGGAAAGAAAGACAAAGCAGTCCCGCAGACATCCTATTGCTTGTCCCTCACAGAGACACAGCGAATACTTGAACATCGGTGGAACGGTCCAAGGACTCAGGATAGGATGAGACCAAAGGCAAATACAGGTGACCTCATTTGGCAGTGGACTGTCCACCTTCCCTTAAAAATGACAGAACCCACAAGGGACTCAGGAAGATAGCCACTCAGTAGAGATGGGAAAGGCCTTAAAATGTAAACTGAGGTTTACTTGCAAGGCTAATGTAATACATTTCTATTGTCTTTTGACATTGAAAATAAAAAAGTCGCGGATACGCTACCTGCATCATATGCGCATTCTCAACTTTAGCTTCCTCCAATTTGGGCTGTAATTGAACAAGCTCCATTTTCATCTCGCCAACCTAAAGAGAGTTTGTTGTAAGTTCTCAGAGCTACAGTAGTAGCTTTGGGAGCAAAACACAAACTAGAAACTTACATGTACTATAAAGTGTCAGGCAAGAAAATCATAACTTTTCCTAATAGTTCTTTGCATAATAAACAATGCAGATAGAAAAAAGTGGCAGCACATAATATGCCTATTATACTCTATTCATAGAAAGACAGCACAACTCAAAACTCACTTCTAGCAAGTTGATTCTGAGTCATGGAGACATTGCAGGGCAGAGTAGAACTGCCCCGCAGTGTGTTTCCAAGATGGCAAACCTTTATGGGAGTAGAAAGTCTCACCTTTCTCCCTCAGAGCTGTTGATGATTTTGAACTGCTGACTTTGTGGTTAACAGCTCAATGTGTAACCCACTACACCGATACAAATGCACATAAAGATAAACTATGTGAAGATGAGCTGTCCAGACATCTCTTATTTGTTATCAGCATTAAAAAAAACAAATCTTACATTTAAACATTTACAGTAACGTCAACCCAGACTTGTTACATTCTCCTAAATGTCAAAATATTAATTAAAAATCAAACAGGTGTATTAGAAGATGAGACATCTGGGCCACATTTGACTTTTCTAAAACCCACTTTCCTCGCCTGTGAATGGTGATGTATAGAAGTGTCTTTCTCCCCCTAATAAAATGATTAAAAAAAAAAAGTGAGGAGCTGATACCAAGGGCTAAAGTAGAAAGCAAATGTTTTGAGAATGATGAGGGCAACAAATGTGCAAATGTGCTAGACACAATGGATGTATGCATGGATTGTGATAAAAGTTGTAAGTGTCCCAAATAAAATGATTTAAAAAAAAAGAAAATGACAATTTGTGCCTGCCTTTAGATCTTAAAATATTTGAGAATAGTTCAAAGATTTAAAAAAAAAAAAAAGAGTGTCTTCCTCACGGGGTTTGTATGAGGGAGAACTGAAGGAATGCATGTCGAATACATAGCACAAGTCCCTGGCACACAATATAATCTCAGTAAACCACAGCTGTTGTCATCACACTTCTGAGCTTTCCTATTAAGTGCTGCGATTTTGAACAGCTAATCAAACTTACTTGAGACTCAGCAAAGGCTAATTTGTCGAGTCCATTTGTATACTGTTGTTTTGCATTCATAACAGCTTGTCGCTTTGAAGTCAAAAGTTGTCGAAAGGACGCAATCAGTTCAAGATAAGAGGTAGCAGTTACATAGTTGTGTCGCCCTAACTCTTGCAAAAACCTAAGAGAGGCGGACAACAGTGAGTTTCACCAGTGAGGTAAACCCAAGATAGCATTAATATCAAACATTTAAGAATAAAAATTCATTTTCATTAGAAGCTACTGAGAATGACATGTACAAAACTCTAGAAATCAACCCATAACCATGGGTTGATTTTTTGTAGAAAAAGAAAAAAATCAAATCACAATGATCTTGTATTTAAAAAGCAAAGGTATCTATCAAAGGTGAATTACAGCAAGAAATACAGATACCTTTTTACATGTTTTTATATGTGAGGAGGATAAAACCTGTAAGGGGCCCTACCTCCTATGGAAGCCAGGAGAAGGGAATGGCATCAAGGCCATCATGATCACACCAAAGTGCATCTTATGTTGGCCCGACGGAACGTGACAAGCACAAGACAACTACAGACGCATAGACAGCAATGGAGGTCATGATGTTTCACAACCAGGATGCAGGCTAGAGCCCACCACTGTCCGAGTCAAATGTGCAGGTTTGACCCCATAGAACAGAGTAGAACTGCCCCTGGGGGTTTCTAAGACTGTAACTCTTTACAGAAGTAGAAAGCTTCATCTTTCTCCCTCGGAGCAGCTGGTGGCTTTGTACTGCTGACCTTGAGGTTAGCAGTCCAACACACAGCCATGATAACAGAAGGGCTCCTTACACAAAATATCACAAGCCCTTTGACTTCACGGTGTTTTTTTTTAACTTCACGTTTTTTAAGTGAGGATTTCAGGGATGAATGGAAATATAACAGACACTTTGGAGTATCCTTCTCTGAGAACTGCCAGCCAGTATCCTGGTAGCAATGTTTGGCTCATGAAACTAACTGCCTGATAGATCAGGGTGGGCAATAGACACAAGAAGACACCCATGTTCTTTTCCAGAAATTCAGGATAGAAGCTTAAAAACAATCAACTAAGTTCTACCCGTAGCCGGAGCTATTGACATAGGCATATGCTACAGAACATCCAGGACCGCCACATGCAATGGGAAACCGAAAAGTTCATCTTCGAAGAGAGAGAAGGAAGAAATGCCCAGAGAGAAGCAAGATGAAAAACAAAGAAACAGCATTTGTGGGTTTCTGGTTGGCTTTGTAAGTCACTTCGGAAATCAGGCTGTATTCGCTGTTACGCTTTCCTAGTCACCCCTGACTCCTGGTGACCCCACGGGTGCCAGAGGCTAACCACTCTGCTGTGTTTTCATGATTGTAATCTATGTAGAAGCACGGTGTCAGACCTTTCTTCTGATGCGCTGCTAGTAGGTTCAAAACTTTACGTTAGCCCAAACCAAACTCGCTGCCATCAAGTCGACGCAGACAGGGTAGACTGCCCTGTGAGCTTCTGAGACTGATACTCTTTACAGGAGTAGAGAGTCCAGTCTTCCTCCCGAGGAGCAGCTGGTGGTTTCAAACTGCCGACCTTGCAGCTGGCAACCAACATGTAACCACTGCGCTACCGGCAGTCAAGCTAAATGAAATGATTTGTGCTGCGTGGGGATCTATCTTTAGAATAAACTCCATTTGTTCAAATGTGTTCAAGTAGCTTTCAATTACTTGCAAGCTGAGGGTCTTAACTAATTACATGCCTGGAAATACTTTGAAGGCAGAGATATTGTACCATTACAATTTTAGATTAAAATTTCATATTAGAATTTTGAAACACCCCCCAATGTTTTAAAACGGGAAGTATAGTTGTCATTGAAAATGTCTGAATATTAACCTTTCTGAAAGATCCATGATGGAGGTGTGAAAGTATTTACAGATGGAAACTACTTCTTGCCGTTCAACCTCAGTGAGCTCCAGGGTTTCTAAGAATTTCACAGCTACAAGTTCAAGAGCATCTTCAGGCCATGGCTAAAAACAACAGCAGTAGAACAAAAATTATTAGGAAGTTTAAGTAAGACAATACTATTTTCCCTGTTAATGGAAGTAGGGGGCAGAGGTCACAAGTATATCAATGGAAGACAACATTTTAGCAGATAAAATTAAAAAGACAATATATAACATAAAAAGCTATGATACTGCACCTATCAAAGGTCTGTTTCACTGTTTTGTCAACTTTCACTTGACCATTTAATACGCATGCCAACTTTATCGTGGCAGCAGCAGAGACTGCCTACTCAATATCAACTAGCCTCTTAGGATTCCGTATTTTTTTCTAGAGAGCAACATGGCCAACTAACAGACCACATTTGCCTGCACTTTTCTGCAATGTGAACTGTCTGATGATGTCTAAGCAGATGCTGGGTGGGGACTTCAAAGATGGCTCTTTAAGAGGTTTACAGAGAACTGGCACGTGTCTTTTTTATTTGCCCTATTCTCCTTGCCTGGCACACAGATGTGAAAGCAGAATCCCAGTTCCACTTTGGATGATAAGGCAATTTTGAGAATGGAAATCACATGCTGAGGAAGCTAAAAATAGATCGAATCTGGAATTCTGATGACTCTGTTAAGCCCCAAGCTCCCGGTCTTTTTTTTTTTTTTTCCCTTTTTTTGTCTACATGAGAGTTAAAACAAAAAACCCTGTGTGTTTACTTCAGGCTTCAGTTGCTAGGAGCCCAAGTCAGCAGTTCTTAACTTTATAATGCCCCGACGTACTGTATGATTGATTCACTTCCTGCCAATCGGCTGCTGCTTCAGTCGTCGCTATTTGAGTGAAAGACTTCTTTGCTTTTCCTGAAATATGTTCAGTGCATTCCTGTGTCACAGCCTTTGAACTTGCTCTTCTCTCTAACTAGAACCTTCTTCTCCCAGACCTCCCTCCATGTGGAAAACGTCCTCATTTCCTTCAGACCAGTCATGTGTTCAACCGCCACTTCACAGACAAGTGTTCTGAGGTGTGGCTACTTGCATCCATGAACAACTGCCTCCTTTGCTACCCTGACTGAATGTTTCCATCAAGGGTTCTCCAGAAGAAGCCTCATCAATTGGGGGAAACTGAAGAAAACTTTAGATTCACAAGGAATTCAGATTTTCTGAATCCAACAAGGCTGGCAGAAACCCTGAAACTATTGCCCTGAGATAATCTGTTTCTCTCTCCACCCCAGGGTTAGATACAATAATAGTTCAAAACAAAACAAAAGTTATTATAGGTGAGATAATGAAATTTCTTAACACTTAGTTTTAATACATTACACTAATTTTCTAAAACAAAGGAATCAGTATTTATAGTAGATGGCATGTTCATGTGAAATACATATATGTTACATGTCTGTAGGAAACATCATATATGTCAACAGTATTACTGGAGTACATATATGTAATCATGCCCCCCAAAGATATATAAGCCTTGGTTAGCAATAAAAGTCGCTCTCTGGTTCTCCCTCGCCCTGTACCACCAAGAGGAGCTGTGGAAAAAGAACCCCGGAGACTCTGGGTTAAAAGAATCTTCGGAGAAGAAAATGAAAGTCTTTCTGAGAAAGAGGAACCCTATGAAATACCAGAGAAATGTTGTGCAGCCTGTATGTCTGAATGGGGAACCTCACTCAACAGGAGCCTGGAGTGGAGTGTGTTCTCTAAAACCGAGATCCCTGCACAGTGGATCCAGATGACAGCAGAACCAGGAGCCAGGTCACGGAACAGAGTGATTGGCTTCATAACTCGTGGAGCAAGTGCTTTTTTGGAGGAGGCTGGCTTTTGGAGTGGGGTACCTCTGGCCACTTAATTGGGGAAGTTGGACTTGCTGACCCATGGAAGTGCAGATGTGTGCCTTTGGACTGAACTGAGGCTTATTGGACTGGAGCCCCTCTGGGCACTAAATTACAGGAGCTGGGTTTCCTGATTCATGGAGTTAAATGGAATGACACCAACCATTCCTCCCATAGCATTCCATTCTCTCTCTTTTAGGGTCTTTTTATCTATGCTATCAAATTCTGCACTTTAAATGTTTCTTCAAGAACTTTTAATAACTTCATTGATACATAAAACAAAAAGAAGTCTAGAAGCATGAGGGTGCTATTAATGACTACAAGAAGGAAGGAAAGGGTCTACGATTGGTTGTAGGGATGACTGCGCAAGTCTTTGATGTGTTTAAACCACTGAATTGTATGATGTGTGAATTTTATGACATTAAAACTGACATAAAAAGGAGCAGAGTCTTTCCAAGGATGCTTAATTTAGAAGCTTAACCATATCTGAAGATTCAGGTTATTTCCATATTTTCCTCTCTAATTCTCAGCACACAGTATTTGACCCTTGGGCTTGTCTTATCATGATGATACAAGACTGAGCATCACATCCTCAAACAACCAGATTGATGACAGGAAGGGCCCTTTTATTTCACTACCATGTGACTCTTGTTAAAGTGAAGCAAGTTTTCCCCAAATCTTCCCAGAAGACTTTGCCTCAGGAGTTATAGTCAAGGAATGAGCCATGCTCATGTGTAAATCAATCATTAGCAAGAGAAATAAAAGTATCATCATTAACATATTCCAATTATGAATCAACTCTTCTGGCACATGGCTCAAAATCTGATTTTCCAAATAAAAACAGAATTCTTGCAACAATGATGGAGGCCAAAGAGAATGGCCATCATAAGTGAGCACTGTAAGACATGATATGCCCTGAAGGGAAGGTTTACTGTTTTGTTTTTTTCTTTCAGAGAGAGTGAGACAGTGAGTCAGTGAGTGAGAGTAAGACAGTAAGTGAGGCAGTGAGAGAGTGAGGCAGTGAGAGTGAGGCAGTGAGTGAGACAGTGAGAAAGTGAAACAGTGTATGAGTGAGGCAGTGCGTGTGTGAGTCAATGAGTGAGTGAGGCAGTGAGCAAGTGAAGCAGTGAGTGAGAGTAAGACAGTGAGTGAGTGAGGCAGTGAGAGAGTGAGACAGTGAGTGAGTGAGAAAGTGAGTCAGTGAGGCAGTGAGTGAGTGAGACAGTGAGTGAGAAGTGAGCGAGTGAGTCAGAGAGAGTGAGACAATGAGTGACTGAGACAGTGAGTGAGAGTGAGACAGTGAGTGAGTGAGAAAGTGAGTCAGTGAGTGAGTGAGTCAGTGAGTGAGTGAGTCAGTGAGGCAGTGAGAGAGTGAGACAGTGAGTGAGAAGTGAGCGAGTGAGTCAGAGAGAGTGAGACAGTGAGTGAGAGTGAGTCAGTGAGTGAGACAATGAGTGACTGAGACAGTGAGTGAGAGTGAGACAGGCAGTGAGAGTGTGAGACAATGAGTGAGGGAGGGAAGGAGGGAGGGAGGCAGTGAGCAAGTGAGACAGTCAGTGAGTGAGTCAATGAGTGAGTAAGGGAGTGAGTGAGTGAGACAGTGAGTGAGTGAGACAGTGAGTGAGCGAGACAGTGAGTGAGTGAGGCAGTGGGAGAGTGAGGCAGGGAGACATTGAATGAGCGAGTGAGACAGTGAGTCAGTGAGACAGTGAGTCAGGTTTACTGTTTAACCAGCTGATGTAAGTCAACATTCCAAATTGCTGCTGGTAGGTGCTCTTGAGTTGACTTTGACTCAAGCAACCCTATGAACATCAGACTGAAACAGTGCCTGGCCCTGTGCTAGCTACATAATTATGATATGTGAGCCCACTGTTGCAGCCACTGCGTCACTCCATCTTGCTAAGGGCCTTCTTCTTTTTCACTGACCAAGCATGAGATCCTTCTCCAAAAACGCATTTTGTTTATCCATTCACCTGCTGATGACTATGTGGGTTGTACCCACCTTTTGCCTACTGTGAATAGTGCTACAGTAAGCAATAATGGACAAGTCGCTTCTTTCAAGTGATTTGCTGATAGTTATCTTTTTATTTTTTTAAGAAACAGCCACAGGTTTTCCATAGCAGTTGTATCATTTTTCATTCCCACCAGCAATGGATAAGGGTTGCAATTTCCCCACATCCTTGGCAACATTTGTTACTTTGTTTGCTTGTTTTATCTTACCCATCCTAGAGCTACTATGAGTCAGAGTTGACTGGATGCCAGTGAGTGGGATTGTAATGGTATCCCACTGTGATTTTGATTCGTATCTTTTTTGATGGCTAATGACACTGAGCATCTTCTTCATGTATATGGTATCCTTTGAATGCCCTTTGGTGAAATATCTATTCAAGTCCTTTGCCCCTTTTATGTTACATTATTATTATTATTTTAAATCAATTTATTGGGGCTCATACAATACATAGATCAATTGTGTAAAGCACATCTATACATTTGTTGCCCTCATTATTCCCAAAATTCGCTTTCCTCT